ACTCAATTTGAAATCTTCTGCCCCCATGTGCTCCAAGATGGAGACTCTCATAGTTTAGAGTTAGGACCGCACTATAAGAGGTGCCTTGGCGCGGCAGTGCGGCTTACACATCCTTTGCAGAAGACGTGTATCCAAACCTCTGTCATTGTCCTTAGTGGTGAGACAAGTTGTTTTACATGCTGGTTTGTGAGTGCGCCATGATGCCTTTCTACTGTTCCACTGTTCAAAGCCCATTTCGCGTGCACCTTACTGTATAACTGGTGACAAATTGTTGAGTGCGTTTGTCGTTTGTTTTGCTTGAGGTTCTCTTTATTGACCCCTGTCACCTCCAATACAGGAGTTCTAGCACAGCACTGTTCTGGAACTCCTGTGACGGGTGAGAGAGGAAGACGGCTCTCCCCTCTCACTGTCCACAGTCTGCACGAAGCGGCAGGGTTACTTTTAACCCGGCCGCTCTGCTCACTGCAGTTAGGAGAGACTCGGCGGCGGAGCCCGGAGGACGTAGCCAGCGAGGAGAGAGGTAAGTGTGGGGGGGGGGGAGGAGGCTGCAGACTGATTACATGTGATCTCGGCGAAATCGCTGAGTTCACATGTAAACGAAAAATCGGCTTCCCTCACTCTACATGTAGTTTGGCTTGTACAAAGCAGGACTGAATGTAGAGAGGGCAACTTCCCCACAAGGACACCGCTGCCGCCCCTCTGCGCCCTGCCACCCCGAGCCCGGGCCTCGGTGGCCTTGTGAGGAATCCGGGCCTGTCCCCAGGTCTGTCACATGAGGGTGGGGAGAGCATAGCGCTGTGTCATTTTTAGAGGGGTTTTTAAGGGATGAAAGCGATGGGGGAGGGGGGAAGGTCTCGGAAAATAAGTACAGGGTTCTTATTGCATCTCCTATAAAACAATCCCGTTACTTTCCCTTTGTGGATCGGGTACAGGACAGGTCCACTTTAAATCATTTGCTACAATAATACAGAAATATGAGAGCGGTAAACTGTCGCCCCAAACGGAAGCGCTCTGTATGAGCGCGCTTATTATGGCCGAGTGTGATTTACATCCAGTCACATCCCGGAGATGCGGGATAAGTAATGTCGCGGCAATGTGCAATGACGTTCTCCGCGAAGCGGCGTGCGCCGACCTCATGTATAATACATAACAACCGGCATCTGTCGCGGCGCTCGTTACAAATCAACTGACTGCCACCTCGGATACAGAATAATAATTCCAGGCAGACGCGGGAATGATTCAGCGTTAATCCGAGTTATACAAGAAGATTGGCGTGAGTCATATATCGTACCGTGCTAGGTATGGGGGAACCGCGGATGATACGGATAATCGCCATGGTTATTATCACCACGTGTCACATCCCGGGACCCGTATTATGTCGTGTGCATTGTGGCGAGGGCTCACCTCCGCTGTATTGCCCGTTATATATATATATGTACTGATGCAGGGAAGAGACTTACACCAGAGGCCAGTCAGCCATGCAGGGCCGGATTCCCCGCAAGGCCACCGGGGCGGCACGGAGAAGAGGGGCGGCGCATGTTTGAAGTCACCCGACGCCCGGAACATGGAGTTCTGGGCGCCGGGGCGGTAATTTGTTTTCTACATTTAGCTCTGCTTTGCAGCAACAGGGCTAAATGTAGAACGGGGGAAGCCGCTTGTTTCTTTACAAGTGATCTCGGCAATGTCGCCGAGATGACTTGTAATTAGACTGCAGCCTGTCCCTCCTCCCTCCCCCGCACCTACCTCTCTCCATGCTGCGTCCTCCCGACTCCATCTCCAGGCACCGTCCTCTCCTCGCTGGCCGCCGATGTCCTCAGGATGGAGAGCAGAGCGGCAGGGTTAATACTAACCCTGCCGCTCCGTGTAGACTGTAGAGCAGGGGTAGCCAAACTCCGGCCCTCCAGCTGTGGTGAAACTACAAAACCCATGATGCATCTCTCTTCGTGAGCCATGTCTGTGGCTGTGAGAATCTTGCAATGCCTCATGGGATTTGTAGTTCCACCACAGCTGGAGGGCCGGAGTTTGAATACCCCTGCTGTAGACAGTGAGAGAGGGGAGCTGTGCTGTGCTGTGCTGTGCCGTGCCATGCTCTTCCCCTCTTACCTGTCACAGGAGTTCCAGCACAGTGCTGTGCTAGAACTCCTGTATTGGAGGCGACAAGGGTCAATAAAGAGAACCTGTCACTTCCAAATGCTATGCTTGTTAGCTCCTGTTTAATAGCAATAAAGTTAAGTGAAAAAAAATTGATTAAAAAATAAATGAAAAAAACCAGACTGAGCTGACAACCCGGTGTCCCTGCTGCTCTGTCTCAAACAGTGTTGTCAGCAACCATGTTGTACCACAGAAGCCCTTCACCTTATGTTATGGAAATGAGGGGAAAAGGTGTTCTGAAGTCCAACAGAGGAAAGCAAGGCAGGGCTGACACCACTGCTTGGGATCTCAGTGCAGCAGAGGCAATGTGTTCTCTGCTCACTACAGGAAGTTAGGAGCTCCCTGGATTTCTAGCAGACCAGCTGGCATTCTTCTGTACTTGCAGCGGCTGTAAACATATAGAAATGTGCATGTGGTTTGTTTTTTGTTTGTTTAATCTGCTTATATTTTGCTCTTCCCGGTTCCTTCTCTCCCCCCCTCATCAACTCGTCTATGACATTATTGATTAAACCTTTTTCTTTCATTACATGCTTTATTTTAGACCCAATGGTGTCATCACCGGGGCTCTGTGCATCTCTGTACAATGCAGGCAGGTCATGGCTGGTGGGAGGGGCCGTCAGGGTGCTGTACGTAGCTTCCTGAAAACATCACAGCACCCAGCCTCAGTACTGCTCTCTCAAGAGCCCTCAGCCCTGATGCAAACAGTGGGCCGGCTCTTGGGAGGAGTTATGCAAATAGCAAAATGCCTTGATGGGTGGGGGTCAGTCCGGAGGAGTGCGTGTTCCTGGGCAGGCTGTATTCCCATGCAGACCCCCCTAGGTAATGCCCACTTGTGATGCTGAGTCTCCATGATTGAAAGAGCTGAAATCTAATGAATGAAAGGGGCGGGCCAGGGACAGTCAGGCTTTGGAGGGGAGGGCTAGATGGAAAGGAAGGAGTGAGGCAGGCTCGATCTGACTTCCTGCAGTTTCTAATGCACATTGTGAGAAGCTCCCATTGCGCAGGGATACCAGGGGGAGGAGGAGAGGAGCCGGTACAACTGTGCAAGACTGAAGGGGAGGAAGGAGGTCAGATAGAAGACTGGAGGGGAGGAAGGAGGTCAGATAGAAGACTGAAGGGAAGGACGGAGGTCAGATAGAAGACTGAAGGGGAGGACGGAGGTCAGATTTAAATTCAATTTGAAGCTAAAATGTTTGAGAAGTATAGAGGGGAAACCTTCCAATTGGAACAATAAGTGAGGTGAGAACTGTCTAAGAGGCGAGTTTTCTCAATCCATGTTGTGTCAACCCCTACTACTGATCATAGAGCCCGGGGGGGGGGGGGGGG